CGACACCCCAGCCTGGGCAATCCGGGCCCCTTCCAGTCGCATCCGCGACACCCCAGCATGGGCCCTCCGGGCCCCTTCGAGTCGCATGCGCGACACCCCAGCCTGGGCCCTCCGGGCCCCTTCCAGTCGCATCCGCGACACCCCAGCATGGGCCCTCCGGGCCCCTTCCAGTCGCATGCGCGACACCCCAGCCTGGGCCCTCCGGGCCCCTTCTAGTCGCATCCGCGACACCCCAGCATGGGCCCTCCGGGCCCCTTCGAGTCGCATGCGCGACACCCCAGCATGGGCCCTCCGGGCCCCTTCCAGTCGCATCCGCGACACCCCAGCATGGGCCCTCCGGGCCCCTTCGAGTCGCATGCGCGACACCCCAGCATGGGCCCTCCGGGCCCCTTCCAGTCACATCCGCGACACCCCAGCATGGGCCCTCCGGGCCCCATCCAGTCGCATCCGCGACACCCCAGCATGGGCCCTCCGGGCCCCTTCCAGTCGCATGCGCGACACCCCAGCATGGGCCCTCCGGGCCCCTTCCAGTCGCATCCACGACACCCCAGCAAGGGCCCTCCGGGCCCCTTCCAGTCGCATCCGCGACACCCAGCCTGGGCCCTCCGGGCCCCTTCCAGTCGCATCAGCGACACCCCAGCATGGGCCCTCCGGGCCCCTTCGAGTCGCATGCGCGATACCCCAGCATGGGCCCTCCGGGCCCCTTCCAGTCGCATCCGCGACACCCCAGCAAGGGCCCTCCGGGCCCCTTCCAGTCGCATCCGCGACACCCCAGCATGGGCCCTCCGGGCCCCTTCGAGTCGCATGCGCGACACCTCAACATGGGCCCTCCGGGCCCCTTCCAGTCACATGCGCGACACCCCAGCCTGGGCCCTCCGGGCCCCTTCGAGTCGCATCCGCGACACCCCAGCATGGGCCCTCCGGGCCCCTTCGAGTCGCATCCGCGACACCCCAGCATGGGCCCTCCGGGCCCCTTCCAGTCGCATCGGCGACACCCCAGCATGGGCCCTCCGGGCCCCTTCCAGTCGCATCCGCGACACCCCAGCATGGGCCCTCCGGGCCACTTCGAGTCGCATCCGCGACACCCCAGCATGGGCCCTCCGGGCCCCTTCCAGTCGCATACACGACACCCCAGCATGGGCCCTCCGGGCCCCTTCCAGTCGCATCCGCGACACCCCAGCATGGGCCCTCCGGGCCCCTTCCAGTCGCATCCGCGACACCCCAGCATGGGCCCTCCGGGCCTCTTTCAGTCGCATCCGCGACACCCCAGCAAGGGCCCTGAGACCTTACTAACGTCGACCCCACGACACCCCAGAGCTGGGCCCTCAGGCTTCACTTTGATCACATCCGCGACACCTTATCCGGGTCGTCCTGTAACAGCGTGGTCATATCCGCAGCACCCAAACCTGAGTGCCCGGCCTTACCATGAATCGCCTGCGGTCGGCATGAGGCACCGCGCCTGATTCCTGTTACTTGCGCGGTATCGTCTCCTTCATCATATAGCCCTATGGGAATCATAACCGTGACACTCCAGCTTGAGTCATCCAGGCTTGTTTAGATGTCATCTACTGCATCCCGGCTGTATTCCGGTCACCTTCGAAAAGAGTTCTTGAATCCCTCCCCGGATCAACCCCGCCCAGTTAAGGGCGGGTAGGCAACGGTGAGGGAGGGCGAAAATGTCCGCTCCACGGGATGGTGGAAATTTGCACTGTCCACAAAGGCAGCAGCGAATTTGACGTCTGTAAAGGATGAAGTAGAGTAGGTTGATCCCCAGGAGATCGTAGGCGACGTCGCGTCAAGAAGTTTGCGCAGCAGCAATTTGTGTTTCGGAAGTTGGTGTGCCGCGCGTCAGAAAGGACGCTGAATAAACTATAATATAAGGAGAAGGTTATACAGTAAATTAAGGTAAGAAGTGGGAGAAAGGGAGAAGCGGTGCGCATACACACCGACTGTCTCCGAACGATGGCAAGATTGGGCCTGATCCTGGCCAAATAAACGCCTCAAATCTCTATCAAGCACCTTAAGTCTCTGTAATAAAAACATACCTTCCACACTTCCTCTCCCACCAAATGCAACCTTCGTCCCACTTTGGACCCGTACAACCTCAGCAACCACCTTCACCGTATCCAGTACTTCTGAAAAAACCAACATGCAAGTGCAACCAACTCAGATGACACACAAAGGGTGAGCTGGCTCAATTCGGAATCGCAAAGACTACATCAAAACGATCTTTATATTTTTTGCTGGTTGAAACCGCAAGGCGGCCCGTGCGCCCGCGCACTGAAACTCCTTTAGATCTATACGCATTTTTACATATCCGCTTATCAACATTGAGAAATTGTCGAACAATCAAACTGAATCTCTTAGTTACATTGACAGCGACGACTCATGGCTTCTCAATCTAATTGGCGCCAAGAAACAAACCAGTGTCCAACCTGGGGCTCTTGAAAGAGTCGAGTTGGGAAAAAATCACCTCCTTCTTCCCCCATCTCCTCCCCCATCTTCTCCCCCCTCCCCACTTTCAGGGTGGTTATCCGCAGCGCCAACAAGAGCACTGACACTGACCTGCTGGGTCATGATGCCTGGGTGGCGAGAGTGGAACACAACGATCACAACACACTAGACGGATGTCTTAGTGTAATCGAATTTCATTCTGGAAGTTTGCGGCATTTGCGACTGAGCGAGCCCAGGTT